AAATGATTGTTTTTGTGTGCAGGTTCATAAGATGCACATCGTTTGGTTATCTGTTCTTATTGCTTTTTTGGCCATTCTTGAGATGACCATCTTTTTAAAAAAGTGAATGTCTTATTGAAGCATGGTATACACAAAAGGGCATGAAATGTAAGTGTATCGTCCAATGAATTTTTACTAAGTGAATAGACCCATTATTTGTATTCAAGAAACAGAACATTACCAGTACGCCAGAAGCTCCTGCCTTATGCCACCTCCCAGTCACTACTCCCAAAGTAGAACTCAAATTATAACACCAAAGATTAGTTTTGCCTGTTTGTGAACTTTATATAAATGGAATAATAAGTATATAATTTTATGTGGCTTATTTTTCTTAAAATTATATTTGCGAGATTCACTCATATTGTTGATTGTAGCTATAGTTCTTTCATTCTTACTACCGTATAGCATTTCATTATGTAAATATACCACAATTTATTTGTTCATTTTACTGTTGATGGACATTCGGGTAGTTTTCCATTAGGGAATAATTAGTGCTGTTATGAACACATTTGTACATGTCTTTCAATGAATGTTATATTCACATTTCTGTTAATATATAACTGAGAGTGGAATTACCGTTCCAGAATATAAACATATATAAATTTAGGTAGATAACTACCAAAGAGTTTTTCCAAAATTGTTGTACCGGCCTACACTTACTTAACTGAAAATATGAGTGTAGTTGTTCTATGTCCTTACCAACATTTGGTATTTTTTGTTTGTTGTTTTAATAACATTCATTTATTCTAATCAGGACTTAAGCATAAATACATGGTATCTCATTATGGTTCTAATTTGCATTTCTCTGATGATAAATGAAGATAACACTTTTTCTCATGTTTGTTGGTCTTTGGATATAATCTTTTATGGAGTTTCTGTTAAGTCTCTTGCTCATTTCTCTATTGTAGTATCTGATTTTTTCTTATTGACTTATAAGAGTTCTTTACATATCTCTGATAAAAGTCCTTTGTCATACATGTGTGTTATAGATACCATCTCCTGCTCTATATCATTTCATTCTCTTAATTACGTCTTCTGATTAAATTATTCATTTTAATGCAGTCCAGTTTAAAAAAATTTTTTTCATTTATGTTTATTTAGTGCTTCGTTGTGTTCTGCTAGAAAAGTATTTGCCTGCCTCCAAGGTTATAAGTATAGTCTCCTGTTTTCTTCTGAAAGTGTTATTATTTTACCTTTCTCATTTAACTCTATAATACATCTGGAATTAATTTTTGTGTATGGAGGGTTAAGATTTTTTATTTTCCATACAGATAACCAATTAACATGCAGTGCTATGTCATCTCCATAGTAAATCAGTGACTTTCGTCGTGAGTCTGCCCTGGGCTCTCTGTTCTGTTCCATTACAACTTTTCTTTTCTTGTTTTCTAAGCAAATTAATATACGTGTGGGAAGTCTTAAGATGAGAGAATTCTGGTTAATGGAATTAGTTTATTCAAGATAATCATAGAAACAACCAAAACGACCTTCGATAGATTATTGGATAAAGATGTGCTACATGTATACAATGGAAATTACTGAGCCATAAGAAAAGATGAAATACTACTATTTGCAACAACATGGATGGATCTTGAGATTATCATGCTAAGCAAAATAAGATAGAAAAGGTTGATAAATGTGTGAGTTCATTCATATGTGGGATATAAAACCAAAAGCAACAAACGAACAAGACAAACAAACAGAGACTCATAGACACAGACAATAGTTTAATGGTTCCCAGATGGAAAGGGGGAGAAGAGGAGGGAAAGGAGGTCAAATATATGGTGATGGAAGGAAATTTAACTTTGAGTGATAAACACATAATGCAGTATACATGTGATGTATGATTGAATTGGACACTTGAAACCTATATAATTTTATTAGTCAATGTCACCCCAATAAATTTTTTTTAAAAAGATAATGTAGTGTGCAGTATTAGGGCATTTTTCTTTAAACTAGAAGTTACATATTATCAGTAATAGAGCCAAGCTTAGTTGTCAAAACCTCTGAATTCAAACATAGAGGATTACCTTTAAATTTTTTGATTATACATCCTTATCAGTAAATGATGTTTGAGCATATATTTATTTATTAATAAATTACATATAGTATCTATAGTATACATATATAACTGCATCCGCATGTTGTTTTGATTAAAACACACAGACAAAATTGAATTTAAAAAGGAAATCACAAAACAGAAATCAAAATTTCAGTATTTTTTTCCTACACCCCTGTTTTAGCCAAGATGGGCTGGGTTATGTGTGTATGCTAACAATCTTCAAATTTCAGTAGCTTAAAACAACAGTAGTTTTTTTCCCTCGTGCTATATAGTTTGGCTTCAACACTCCTCGGCGCTGTTCTTACTCTGCACTTTTGGAGCAGCACTTTTGAAAGCTTGCTGATCACAGGGACAAAGGGAAAGATAATGGGGAATTGGCACTTAAAGCTTCTGCCGAGATGTGACACATGTTCCTTCTGCTCACATTTCATTGTCCCAACAAATTACATGTCCTCACCTAACCTTGCGCAGAGAAGAAAAACTCTAACCTTGTGCCCAGGAGAAGAACTGGAATATTTTAGACAGCATTAAAAATTATCACCTCTGAAATGACTGATTTCAAAGAATACAGCCCTGGATTTGTATTTGTCTAAGAAAATAAACACACAAAGACAAGTCATTTTAGTTTTTCTAAGCCTACAGTCTGAGAAATGAGTCTAGCAGAACTACAGGCATAGTGGTCTCTCTTGCTAAAAACCTTCAGTGGCTTCAGTGGGTTCACTTTGCACTCATGTAACCCAGACACCTAACATGGCCTACAAGCCCTACCTCATGTCGTGCCAGTCACACCATACCTCAACCATACTGCTCTTTCATTTCCTGGAAGAAGACATGTGTTCCCTACTTCTGTCTTGAGTGTTTTTTAGATCAAATATTTCTTCACGAAGTCCTCTGTGACTCCCAGGGTAGATAGAGTCTTCTCTTTTCTGTGCTCTCATACTTTGTTGCTTTGCTTTTAGAGAAGCTGTTTCAGTTTTTAAAGTAGATTGTTTCACTATTATTTGTTCAATCTGTTTTTCCAATTAGCATGCGAGCTCTAAGAGGGCAAGGATCAGGTCTGCTTTGCTCACCACTGTCTATGGCTGCTTCTGTTTAGCGCAGTTACTGGCATATAATAGGAGCTCATTAAATATCAAGTTTGGTTATAGATTTATGTTTGTGACATTTACGTAGTATCTATAGAGAACATGTCTTAGATATATATATATAGTCCTTAGAGAGTTGTTCGCACAAACTACAAATGCATTGTTGCTCTGTGCCTCTGTGTCTTGGGCAGTCTAAGAAGTTCCAGAGTAGGAATGCTTTTCCCATTGTCTCTGGATTGGAATATACCCTCACCTAAATTTTCATGTTTTTAAAGTGGTTTTCCTTTTTCCATTTCTCGAGTGATTTTTTTTTTAAGTTGAAAGCCCTACAGTCAGGGGATATATCACATTTAACATAAATGGCAGTAAAACTGTCCAAGCAATGAGTGTATTATATAGACCTAGTGAATAAACAAGCTGTGTGATATTAAGCTGTGTTTTCTTTTAGCTTCTGGAGATGATATTGAATTATCAAAACACACTGATTTGTTTTTTGTGATATACTTTGCATCAGCAAAAGGGCATGTATTAGATGCTTGGAAAATGCTTAACTACATATTTATGTGTCTCACTGTTTACCTTCATTTAAATGTGTTGTGTGAAACTTTTTCTGTTTCCTTTTTTAGGAAGAATAACAAGTTTGATCGCCTTCTTGTTTATATGTTTCATTGTGGGCAGTTAGTGCTGTTCTTCATTCAAAATGCAAATATCCTAATAAAGATGTCTTTTATAATTGATAATCTTATAGATGGAATCAATAGGATGATACAGACATTATCTGTAAGACTTTGATAGAAGAGAATTACTGCTTCCCATCAATAAGAAGTGGGATTAAAAAGAGCACGAATGAGGATTATATTTGCAGAGCCTATTTATTCAATAAATGTTTATGAAGTATCTATTTTGTGCTGGAAGCTGTGCTCAGAAGGAGATGGATACTTTATATAAGGCTTTAAATTTTTGTTTCAAAAGGTAGCATTCTGATAAGAACTGAGTTTTAGTCTTTCACTAACTATTTCAGTTTTCTCATCTATAGAATGGGGATGATAAAATACCCATCTCTTAAAGTTCCTGTGAGGAATAAATAAGATGGTGCATTTAAAGCACTTATCCCAGTACCTGGCATATAATAAGCACTCATTACATATTAGCCGTTATTTACTATGAGGCTTTGTCCACAGTCAGCCTCTTAGCTATTTTCCTGTGTTTCTTCTGCTTATTTTTTCCATATTGCCATCAGAACTAAATTCCTGAAACACATATCTGATTGTGTAACATTACCTCTTTAATACCAGTTTTAAAAACCTTTTGTGGTTTTTTGTTGTCTCAAGAAAAAAGTCTCAGTTACATGGATGACATTTAGCACCTTACCATCTGACCCTGACTTTCCTTACCAAACCAGCTTTTGCCTTAATCCCTGCTTGGTTGCAGTCCAAATAGGCCACACACATTATTTTTCGTTTCCTTGGCTTGTGCTCTTCTCTCTGTCTAGAATTCCTGCTGTAGGCGTCCACCCCTCTTCTCACCCTCAACCTCAAGAAATAGCTCTATAGGCACCTCAGAGATTCCTCTTATTCTTCCCAGACAGAATTTTTTAATCCCTTTTATTTATATTTCATTAGTATTTATCACATTAAAGTTAATTAAATTACATGTGTCTTGCTCCTCCACTAGCTTGTGAATTCCTTGAGAACAGATACCATAACTTATTTGTCATTGTATCACTGGAACTACTATGTACACGATAAAAACTTGTTGAAATATGGATTGAGATTCGGTTTGATTTTGTTTTGATTGCAGTGTTTTTATTATTCTAGGTTCTGGGCCTTGTCCAAAATATGAGTGTTTTCCAGTGTCCAAAATGTAAACACAAAACTCATATTTTTGGTGCTGATGGTGCAAGGAGACTAGCACGGACCCTTGATCTTGATGTTCTAGGTAAGACCAAAGAATATTCTTTTGCAGAGGAAGTGGCAGAAGGGAAAGTGGAGATAAGGCATGGTAATGAAGAGTGTCTTGGAAAATGATAAATTGCTTTTGGCTATGTTTTTTATGTTAAGTTAGTAAAGTGTAGTTTTATGTGCTAACTTTTCTTTAGCTTTTTATAATACTTCATTAGTGGAAGTCTTTAAATAGGAAGTTCTACCAATTTCGGTAACTTCTGCTATTGATAAAAAACTTTCTATAACTTGAATTTAAGAAGAGAGTTTTGTAGTCTGAGTACTGTAATTTGAAGCCCATATTTAAGTAATGGTCATCAGTTTGTTTGCTAAGTTGGGAACACATCTCTCAGTATAAACAGTATATATGGAAATACCTGTTCAGTGTGTTGTAGCAGCCTTTGGAAGTGTCCATTCTTAGTGTATATGAAAAAAATACCTCCCTTATCAGTTCTGAATTTATCAGTCTTGCTCTAGAAGGACAATATTTTCTGTATACTGTAATCTTTTTATATGTGTCTGCCATGTCTATACAGCACAGAACCTGAAATTTACATTGTATGTATCTACTGTTCATGTTATTGAATTGAAGGATTAATTAGTGTTATAAGGAGAAATAAAATCATGTGTTAAGTGAGCAAAACACAGAATTTGGATAAAACATGATTTTAAAACAATCCACAAGCAACTTAATGTACTTTTTAGGAAACACATTTTGATATTCTACTTATGAATGAGTTTCTGTTCTAGGGAAGGCAAATGTTAAATGTTGAATAAGGGAACCATAGAGTGAATTATTAGTTTTAAGTAGTTTACAATTAAGATCCCTTAGAGATCAAGGAATTTCAAAACATTCTCTATTATAATTACATTTCTAAAAGTTGATGTTAGATGTATTATTGTTATTATGCGTTTGTACTATAGCAACCACCACAGTGCCAGGTGAATACTAATGATATATTTTGATACATTGCTATAATTATAGTCAGTAATTATATTCTGCAACTGTTTTTCATTTAACTAACCTAGAAAGTTCAATTTCCTAAATCTGCATAATAACATAACAGATTGACATTCACTTATATTATAAAGTAAATGTGTAATTATAATGGCATTATTGAATTATGCTGACAATATTATAATTCCCTAATTTATAAATGGGTAGGATTTTGTAAGTCAGTTATTAAGAATTTGAAATATATCTCCTAGAGAAACAATGTCACATAGGGAAGTTACTTTTTAACCAACAGATCACAAAAGTATAGTTAACCTAAAAATGTATCAGCAACACTGATTACTAATCACAAACACTGAATAGTGCTATAGACGGCTGTATCTAACAGTGTTGTGGAAAATAATTTAGAGCTCCAACTCAAGGCACATCTCTTCCTTTTAATGCAGTCCTGGGGGCCCAGAGGAATCTCCCATGAACTGGAGCAGGGGCTCCAATAATGAAAAGGTTGGAATTGGAAATGAGGAACTGAAATAAGGGAAAGATCTCTCAGAGCTATGGCCTCCTGACTAGTTGAAGCCCCCAGGAACCCTTACTTGTCTTTTACTGACCTTCTAGCTCCCTCTTAATTTAGTTCATCCATTGGGCTGTGTTTTAAATGGTTATTTGGTAAAATGGCTCTTGAGAACTTTATATTTACCTACAAGGACAGTTTATACATAGTAATTAAGGTCTCAGATCATCTCACAGAAACCCCTTGAATTTACATCTCTGAAATATGCCCTGCTTCCTTCAGACCTAACCCATCAAAGGTACTTTTCAAGGCCTGGCTGCTCCCCATCCACTTTCTATACCTTTACTCCTTTTTATCCTTCTCAGTATACAACTGTTAGCCCATTACTGCTCTCACTATGCCACTTATTTTCTAACAAGGTTTTTCCTTCTTGGTCTACTCGTCTATGCCTATAGGTAAGACTGTGTCTCTAGAGGACAGAATTGATGGAGATAGGTGGCTATATAACGGAGATTGTCTTACTTTTTTTTCTTCCATTACTGCAGCAGAAATGAAAGCATTCAGGATTCCTTACTATAATGGCAGTTCATAAATGAAGAGAAAAAACTCTATGGGTTTCTAGGTATTTTCTATAACATGTGTATTCCCCTGCCTGCCCCATTATAGACTTCTACAGTTTTAATTGATCTATAGAATAGACATCAAATTTACTGAAAAGCTAATCTTTAAATGGTTACTGAAATATTCATGTATTTTTGTCATTTGGCTATTGAACATTTAAGAAAGACTTAAAGAGTTGGTTAAGATTTTAAAATTTGCTGACAAGAAAAGCATGAAATAGCTGTTCCCCAAGTATCTCATAATACAAATTGTAGTAGGTTTTAAATTTTGTAACATATACTTCTTCTTCATTATTTACATTGCCTGGCATGGCGCTGAATGACTTATTTATATAAAACACACACATACACACATTTCAATAACCATTGCATGGATTTGGAGTGGTTCTAAGAATGCTGACTACCATGACAAGTCAACTCTTCTGCTTAAGATTCCATTTACGATGTTTTAAATCTCAGCCTTTTGAAAGGCTTCATTTGTGATGGTTTGGTGGAAAGAGTCAATTGGATGATGAATCAGAGCATTTTTCGCATAAGTTCTACTACCTAATAGTAACATATCATCAGGAAAGACATACATCCTCCCAGACCTCAAGTGTGTATACGGAGGTTCTTATTATACACTTTCTGAGATTTCATCAAGCTCACAAGCGATATATAATGCTATATAGATTAATACATAATAAAAGAAAAATAATTCTATCTGATAAAGAGGCAGAGAGTAGAGATAAAGGCCTGGCCTACTTTTCAAGAGTTCTCTTAGCTTACTTATCAGCCAACATCAGGAAGGTTATTTTGTTGCACTTTTTTAAAACTACTTTGCTTCCCCATCTTTTCCTCTTCAATTTTCTATTATGTGGTATATAATGTATCTATATCAGGTATTACAGGTAAAGATAATTTACAGATGTCTTCCAAGCCATTTCTTGCTGGAAGATTTCCAGTAAAAAAATAAATCAGAGGCCTCATTCCTTGATTGTCTGCCACATAACTTCCATATATTCATATCGAATCATTGTACTACCCTCAAATGCAATATTTTGTCCTTAGTTTTCATTTGAAATTACTTTTTCAGAGATTTAACAGTTTTAAATCTCATAAATTCAAGTTGATTTGAGTTGATTTTGTTTAGATTATGTTTCTTTTTGAAGTTCAAACAATGGAATTCCAAATGCCAATATGAACTTTTGTAGTACTAACAGATATCTGTTGGGCTCTTTCAGGAGACATTCCCTTACATCTTGATATAAGGGAAGCTTCAGATACAGGCCAGCCAATTGTGTTTTCACAGCCTGGAAGTGATGAGGTAAGTTATATTTTTAAATATGTATTTTAATTTCTTTTTACAGGATACATACTTTTTGATGTATAGAAAGTTGAGACAATCAAGTTTATTTGCAATGCACATATTAAACGAAGATTGGTTAATGTATCTAAAGGATCTTTAGACTATGGCCATGCTATGCTGAACAAACCCGATCCCATCTGATCTCGGAAGCTAAGCAGGGTTGGGCCTGGTTAGTACTTGAGTGGGAGACCACCCAGGAAGACCAGGTGCTGTAGGCATAAAAAATAAAAAATAAGGGATTGTAAGCTGACAAGGTCCTTGCAATCTGTAAGGTCAAACAAGGGTTGTCTCAAAAAAAAAAAAAGCATCTTTAAGTTACTATTTTATATAGTAGGCATACCAGTGTTAGCTCTGAATTATCAACTGAACAATTTCAGTGACAAAGAATCATCACCTAACCAATTTTCTCATGAAGAACATGAACAATGAAAGTTTGTAGAGTTTTTGTCTTGCTGGCTATCAATGTCCAACTGCCCGAGGTTATTATATTTCAAGTGTCTGAAGTTCCGCTGATTGTTGGGAGAAGGAAACCTAATTTTAAAAACATTAAATTGGATATAGGGAAACTATATACCATTAGAGATATGCTTTTCATTGCTTTTATTTTAATAACTATGATTAGGGAGGTGAGGTGGAAAAACTAGAAGTGTTTCATTGGGGATGTAGTCGATAGATTTTTAAGATTGCTGAGGTTTATGACTTTAAGCACAAATATTTTATTTTACTCTTTTTAGAAAATAGAGATTAAATTAATCATATGTATCTCTTCTTTCCTAAATAGCACTTGCTATTTAAGTTGAAAAAAGTCATTTATCTGATACATCAGTTTGGGTATAGTTTTTATACTCCTTTGCTGAACAGTCCCAAACAATCTTCTAATAGTTTCTCTCATTTTTTCTTATTTAACAAGTATAATGTTATAGTACTGTTGTTTTGTTTTTGTTCTTTTTAAAATTAAACTGTAGTTGGCATACAGTATTCTATATACAGTTTGAGGTGTATAGCATAGTGATTCAACATCTATATAACATATGAAGTGATCATGGCAATTCTAGTAACATTCTGTCACCATACAAAGTTATTGCAATGTTATTGACTATATTCCCTATGCTGTACATTACGTCCTGTGACTTATTTATTCCAGTTATTTTATAACTGGAAATTTGTACCTCTTAAGCCCCTTCACATTTTTGTCCATCTTCTACCCTACTTCCCTCTGGCAACCATCATTTTGTTTTCTATATCTGAGTTTGTTTCAGTTTTGTTTTGCTCATTTGTTTTGACCTTCAGATTCTACAAATAAGTGAGATCATATAGTGTTTGTCTTTGTCTGACTTATTTCACTTAGTTTAATAACCTCTAGGTCTATTCATGTTGTCACAAATGGCAAGATTTTATTCTTTACATGGCTGAGTAATATTCCTGTGTGTGTGTGTGTGTGTGTGTGTGTGTGTGTGTGTGTGTGTGTGTGTGTGTATGTATCACATCACATCTTTATTCACTCATCTGTTGATGGATGCCTAAGTTGCTTACATATCTTGGCTATCGTAAATAATGTTGAAATGTACATAAGTGTACATATATTTTTTCGAATTAGTGGGTTTTTTAAAAAATTTCTTCAAGTAAATTCCCAGATATGCATTTGCTGGTTCATATGTTAGTTCTGTTTTTAATATTTTGAGGAATCTGTATACTATTTTCCCTAGTGGCTGTACCAATTTACAGTTCCACCAACAGTGTGTGAGGGTTCCTTTTTGTCTACATCCTCGCCAACTCTTGTTACTTGTTTTTTTGATAATAGCCATTCTGACAGATGCGAGGTGATATATCAGTGTGGTTTCGATTTGCATTTCCCTGATGATTAGTGATGTTGAGCATCTTTTCATTTGTCTATTGGCCATCTGTATGTCTTCTTTGGAGAAGTGTCTATTTGGATCGTTTATTATTTTTTGACGTTGAGTTGTATGAGTTCTTTATATATTTTGGGTATTAATCTCTTATCAGATATATCATTTATAAATATCTTCAGTTCTGTAGGTTTTCTTTTCATTTCATTGATGGTTTTCTTTTATGTGCAAAAGCGTTTTAGCTTGACGTAGTCCCATTTGTTTATTTTTGCTTTTGTTGCTCTTGTCTGAGAGGCCATATGTAAAAAAATACTGTTAAGGCCTATGTCAAAGAGTTTACTGCCTGTGTTTTCTTCTAGGAGTTTTATAGTTTCAGGTCTTGCGTTTAAGTCTCTAATCCATTTTGAGCTTATTTTTGTATGTGGTGTAAGAAAACAGTCTAGTTTTATTTTATTTTTTTTCATGTATCTGACAGTTTTCTCATCAACCATTTATTTTTGAAGCAGCTATCTTTTCCCCATTGTATATTCTTGCTTTCTTTATCATAGATTAATTGACCAAATAAGTGTGGGTTTATTTATGGGCTCTTGGTTCTGTTCCATTGATCTGTATGTCTGTTTTTGTGCCAGTACCGCACTGTTTTGATTGTTATAGTTTTATAGTATAGTTTGAAATCAGGGAGCGTTATACCTCCAGCTTTGTTCTTCTTTCTCACGATTGCTTTGGCTGTTCAGGATCTTTTGTGGTTTTATATAAAGTACTGTTATTTTGTCCATCCATAAGTACTACACCTTTCATTCTAGTTTGCTTCTCTAGTCATGTGTGAACTGGAAAATAAAAGATCCAAGCTTGGTTAGAGTTGTGAATAAAGTAAGAGTAAATTGACAGTCAGGAGCTTTAGATAAATAAAGTAGGTTTACTTCGAGTTATCCTTTTCAGGGACTGAGAGCTCCTTTCCCTTTCTTAAGGGTCAACAGTTATGATACAGGAGATCGAGTTGCTGAGAATATGATCTCTGAGTAAATACAGTATTGCACTTACCATTGGTTTTCTTTTCTTTATCTTTTAGGTAATATTAAATTTCCTTCTCAGTCTTTACTTGGAAATATTTCAGATGAACAAAATCCATAACCCTTTATTTCTTTCATAATTGAAGTCTGGTAATTCTAACTACCATAGGTATACTTTACTTTATGCAGTGAATGAAAAGTTGCATGAAAATTGAAATGCCTCCTGAGAACAGACTATTTAAAGACATTCTGTGGTGATTATGATGAATAAGATTAATTACTTACTAGTTTATTTCAGTTATGAGTTTACATTTTTAAATATTTTTCCACCTGTCTATTGTTGCTTTTTTCTTTGATATTTTTCAAAAGCAAGGAACATTTTAAGGAAGTTAAAAGAATGCAATATAGTATAGAACAAATAAAAACCATCAAGAGATAATATGAGTTAAAACTCTAAGCAAGTGTCTGTGGAGTTTTTTGTAGTTGTATATTTTTTAAATCTCATTAACATCTGCATAAAAATTAGACTTTTTATATTACTGTTGTTGGGTGACATTAGTGAGAATGTGAACTGCCTAACCCTTTGTGGTTTAAGCTAGATTTGATTTGGTGAGTTGTGCTATAAGATATTTCTGGTACAGACTTTCAAATATAAGTTGGAACTTTATTATCTTAAAATTTCTAAATTATTACCTCATAGTCTTAACATGAAAAGTGTATGATAAATTGGAACTTCAGATCTTTAAAAACAAAAGATAAATGAACAAAACTCTTTATAAAACTTCTTGCTCTTTGGTTGCCATCCATTTCCTTTTAACTTATTAATGATAGAGCAGCCAAATAGGATCCAGCTGTATTATCTGTGCCTCTAGATGGCCCAGTAAAAGATCTTGGATAGGAGAGAAAGGTTAATCTGTATAGACTTGAGTTGATGAAAAAGAGAGTATTAATATTTTGAGAAATCTAAGTTATACTTTTTACATACAATGTGTGTTTGCTATTTGCTGGTTATGGATTTAACAAAAGCGGGTATTTAATTTACTTATTCCTCAGTTAGGAAAAGTACCCCAAAGGACATGTTACTATGAGCCCGTCCATAAAATTGTAAATTACTTGCAGAGGACAAAATAGTAATAATAATGGTCACCAATATTTATTATTTGCTTCTTCTGTGGCAGCACTTCACATACTTTATTTTCAATACTCCTTCAAACCCTTTGAGGTAGATACTGTTGTTATAACCATTATACAGATGTGGAAACTGTGCCTAGAAAGGTTAAGTGATTAACCCAAGGCCTCAAAACTAGTAAGTAATGGAGCTAAGATTTTATGCCTGTCTGACTTAAAGTCCTCAAATCTTCACCAGTGAGCTATTCTACCTCCCTTTAACATTATTATATCCCACAGATTTCCCAAAACAATGCCTCATACACAATAAGAACCAAAAAGGATTTGTTGAAATAATACTGCATTGGCTGAAAAATTCAATCTCAACAGTTTTGTAGAAATTGAAACTGTTAAACTAAGCACTTTTAGTGGTTTCTCAGCAAATGACAATCTAACCATTACTTTGAGTGTCCTATATTGAAAGTTTAAGTTTGGAGATGGTCCTTTAAAAAATGAAGGTTAAATGTAGCAAATTTGATTGGAATCATTCAGTATTTTGTGTAGTCTGATAGGTATGTCTCTAATTTAACGTAAGGACTAAAAGATTATAGAATGATGGCCTTGTCTTAGCTTGCCTTAATGAACTTTAAATTTTCATCAGAAAATATTAAATACCTAGGAAAGCTACTAGGAGATTAAAAAGGTATTTATAAAGATGCATGGGTGAAAATCAGCACATTAAAGAGAAATATTCTTTATAAAGTACATGTTATTTCCATTTCTAAACAAAAACTATTATTTCTGTTAACTATAGCAGGGACTGAAACCATTTTTAGACAAAGCATTACATTATGATTATTTGTGTCTTGGATTTTCTGTTTCATATGTAATGTCGTAAAAGGAGCTGGGCTTTGGACCCTGGTGGGCCCAGTTTGAATATTCCCAGCCTTCTGACTTTGTGACCTTGAGCAAACAACTCCCAGTTTCTTTATCC